TTTGTTGCCCTTCCAGAGGAACTGGCTGGCCCCTGGTTGAGCCGGGAGGCTGGACTAGAGGGACCCTCACTGGTCTGACCCAGCAGGGCTCTTCTGAGGTTCTTACCAGTGGAACCAGGGTCGATCCTGTGTAGCTTCCAAGAACTGAGAATATTGGGCTAGCGTGGGCCATCCGGGTCAGGCCAAAAAAGATGGCTGGCCTGCATAAGCCCTGTTCCACAGATATATTTCCGTTGCTGCAACCCTGGGCTTCCTCAGTGGCCTCCCATCCAAGTCCTAACCAAAGTCAGCCCTGCTTAGCTTCTGACACCTGATGAGACTGGGCTAGCCTGGAACATCCAGGTCAGGATACGGAGACTGAATACGTTCAGGTAGGATAACAGACCCATCCGTGGTTATGGGCTAAATGGAGCCTCCATGTGAAGAGGCAGTCTACCCCGTTTCCCCGAAAATAAGACCTACCCCCAAAATAAGCCCTTGCAGGACTTCTATGCATTTGTGGTATAAGCCCTAGTGTGTCTTCTTGAGAAAAAATAAATATAAGACAGTGTCTTATCTTCGGGGAAACACGGTACCTCTGTCAAATGCTGTGAATGAAAAGCGGGGCAGCTTCTTTGTGTTGTGGGCAGAGTGACTCCTTTCGTTTGTTTTTTTTGGCCCCCTTGGACCGGGGAATTTTATTATTTTCAGAAAAGACGGAGTGAAGACGACAAGAAACACATAACGACAACAATTGCAATAACAACAACACAGAATAACAGACCCAACATAAACTACAGTAGTGGCGCTCAGACTTAGTTTCAGATTACCAGTTAAAGCATAGTTGAATCTTAACGTGTTTTGCACACCTATACTGGTTTTACCATCAACGAGTTTCATATTCAAATCGTTTTCAGGATCTTTATACCCTTCGTTCAGTCCACCGATAAAATCTCGCCCAAGTCTCTTCAAACATTTTGTTATTTCTTCCTTGTAATTGTAGAGTTAATCTGTCCATTTCTGCCACTTCAAACAACTTTTTAAATAATTCTTCTTTGGTTGGTGTTTCTTCCCTCTTCCAATATTTTGCATGAAATATTCTAGAGTGACCTCTTTCCAACAGCCATTGTAGGTGGCAATAGTGCCCTTCTAGAGCACGGGTGTCAAACATACGGCCTGCAGGCCGGGACTGGCTTGTCCAGAGCTCTTATAGAATCATAGAATGTGAGAGTTGGAAGGGATCTTGCAGGTCATCTAGTCCAACCTCCTGCACTCTGCAGGAGCATAGCCGAAAGAGAGCCCTACAACATACCCGAAAGATGGCCGTCCAGCCTCCACTTGAAAACGTCCAGCGAAGGAGCATCCACCACCTCCCGAGGCAGACTGTTCCACTTCTCAACCACTCGTACAGTGAGGAAGTTTCTCCTGATATTTAGCTGGTATCGACTCCCTTGTCATTCCCGCCCATTAGACCTAGTCTTGCAATCCGGAGCAAGAGAGAATAGACCCCCTCCATCTTCTCCATGACAGCCCTTCAGATACTTGAAGACTGCAGTCATGTCTCCTCTAAGCCTTCTCTTTCCCAGGCTAAACAGACCCAACTCTTTCAACCTTTCTTCGTAAGACTTGGATTCCAACCCTCTCACCATCCTGGTTGCCCTCCTCTGGACACGCTCGAGCTTGTCAACATCCTTCCTAAAATGTGGTGCCCAAAACTGGACACAGGACTCCAGTTGGGGCCTGACCACAGCAGAATAGAGCGGAACTACCACCTCCCTTGATCTGGACACAAGGCTTCTGTTAATGCATCCTAAGATTATAGAATCATAGAGTTGGAAGGGGCCATACTGACCACCTAGTCCAACCCCCTGCCCAATGCAGGACCAGCCTAGAGCATCCCTGACAAATATCCGTCCAGCCTCTTCTTGAAGGGTGTCGGCGAAGGGGAGATCACCACCTCCCTGGGCAGCTGATTCCACCTCTGAACCACTCTGACCATGAAAAAGTGTTTCCTAATATCCAGCCGATACCTTTCTGCATATAATGTACACCCATTGCTTCGAGTCCTCTCCTCCACTGCCCACTGAAACAGCTCCGTGCCCTCCTCCAAAGGACAGCCTCTCAGATATTTAAAGAGAGCGATCGTGTCCCCCCCCTCAATCTTCTTTTCTCCAGACTAAACATTCCCAGGGCCCTCAGCCTTTCCTCTTAGGGCTCAGCCTCTAGACTGAGCAACTGGTCATAACAGAGGCTATGCATTATGTCCCTGTATACTGTCCCAGTGCTAATTAGTAGTGGGTGTCGGAAGTCAGAGGGCGGTCATCAGGGATAGACTGTAAGGAAATACTTTTAAGGGCGTTAATGTTTTAAGCATCTTTGTCTTTGGAGCAAAAATAATACCGTTAGTTGGGTTTGCCTGTGTGCTTTATAAAGTTTATACAGTTTGGTGTAGTGGTTAAGTGCGCGGACTCTAATCTGGGAGGACCGGGTTTGATTCCCCACTCCTCCACATGCACCTGCTGGATGACCTTGGGCAAGCCGTAGTTCTGATAAGAGCTGTCCTTGAAAAAGAGCAATTTCTGTCAGAGCCCCACCTACCTCACAGGTTGTCTGTTGTGGGGAGGGGAAGGGAAAGGAGTTTGTAAGCCGCTCTGAGACTCCTTTGGGTAGTGAAGTGCGGGGTATGAATCCAATCTCCTCTTCTTCTTCTTTTACCTCACTGGGTGTCTGTTGTGGGGAGGGGAAGGGAAAGGAGTGTGTAAGCCGCTCTGAGACACCTTTGGGTAGTGAAGGGCAGGGTATGAATCCAATCTCTTCTTCTTCTTCTTCTTCCAGTACCTGGCATCACATTTTAATGCACACATGGCCCGGCCCGACAAAGTGACATTTATGTCACATCTGGCCCTCGTAATAAATAAGTTTGACACCTCCGTTCTAGAGAAAGTATTTACTGTAATACCTGTTGTGGGAAAGAAATCCACGCTCACTATGAAGTTCCAACGGACTAGAATCAAATGTGCTAAGTTCTAGTTCTGGAATTTCACATTTGAGCCAGTGTTCCCTCTAAGATGAGTTCGTGTGAGCTAGCTCACAGTTTTTTTAGCCTCCGGCTCACAGATTTTCGTCTTAGCGCAGGAAGGATGGCTCCAGAGCAAACCGATTTATGCAGGAGCCAAATTGCTCTCTCACAAATTTAATGCCAGTAGTTCACGAAGTAGAATTTTTGCTCACAAGACTCCACAGCTTAGAGGGAGCCTTGGTTTGAACTCGTCCGTCTGTCTCGCATTCTCACTTATGAGTCCTGCTAACTTTGGGTTTAGCGGCACAGTATCCTGTGAGGGGCTGCCCGTCTCTTGCAATGGTTTCTCTCCCGCGTAGCGTCTCTCTTGCTTGTCTGATCTGAGCAGCAAGAAGGTAATTGTCGGCAGGTGATGGCAGATGCCACACGAGGCAGTGCGTAGGCACATGAGGCCCCGGAGGCTCTGTGGAAATAATTTATCGGCTTGCAGAACTATAAAGCACTCTGGGTGCTGGAAATGGCAAATTAGCATTTCTGACAAGAGAGACACAGACACGCCGCTCTTGTTTTGAAACAATGCGCACAGGGTATCTCTCCAGGTCTTTCCACCCACCCTACCACTGACAGTCGAAACTTTCCTGCCCCTTAGACATGTTGAAAAGCTGTCGGTGAAATTCCCCAAGAATTTTGAGGAATAGATGAGAACACCCTGCCCTCTTCCATGGCATGTATTAGTTGTAGACCCTGCATTTACAAAGAATAGCAGCCAAATATCATGCGGAGATCAGACCAGGGAGGGTCCCTCTAGTCCACCATCCTGTCTCACACAGGGGCCGACCAGTTCCTCTGGAGGGCCAACAACAGGACAGAGAGGCCGAGGCCTTCCCCTGAGAAGAACCTCAGAAGAGCCCTGCTGGGTCAGACCAGGGAGGGTCCATCTAGTCCAGCCTCCCGTCTCACACAGGGGCCAGCCAGTAGTTCCTCTGGAGGGCAAACAACAGGGCAGAGAGGCCGAGGCCTTCCCCTGATAAGAACCTCAGAAGAGCCCTGCTGGATCAGACCAGGGAGGGCCCATCCAGTCCAGCCTCCTGTCTCACACAGTGGCTAACCAGTTCCTCTGGAGGGCCAACAACAGGGCAGAGAGGCCGAGGCCTTCATAGGAACATCAGAAGGGCCCTGCTGGATCAGACCAGTGATCCATCTAGTCCAGCATCCTGCCTTACACAGTTGCCAACCAGTTCCCCTGGAGGGCCAACATCAGGGCAGAGAGGCTGAGGCCTTCCCCTGAGATGAACCTAAGATGAACCCAGCTGGATAAGACCAATGGTCCATCCAGTCCATCATCCTGCCTTACACAGTGGCCAACCAGTTCCCCTGGAGGGCCAACAACATGGCAGAGAGGCTGAGGCCTTCCCCTGAGATGAATGTAAGATGAACCCAGCCGGATAAGACCAATGGTCCATCCAGTCCATCATCCTGCCCTACACAGTGGCCAACCAGTTCCTCTGGAGTGCCAGTAACAGGGCAGAGAGGCCGAGGCCTTCCCCTGAGGTTGCCTCCTGGCTCTGGGATTCAGAGG